CCTTATGGGAACAAATTCGTTCGGTAACGGCACTCAAACAACTTTCTGGAACAAATTATGGCTGAAACTCAGGGTACCACTGTATGTGTCTGAAATTTGAGGCTACTGTCAAGGTGGATTCCTAAGAATTTTCCCTCTGTGAGTCTTGTAACAGGTGATCCATTTATCATTGTTAAGTGGAACACTTGCAGCTCTGTTTCCAAACTGAATGAAATAGCTTTTGTCAATATTGAGAGTAAGCTTGTTAGTCATCATTCAGGTAGATACTTTCTGTAATTCAGCACTTAGTGTTGGCTAGTATGACTGGGCTTCGGTGAGAGAAGACATATGTAGCATCATCTGCAAATAACATGGGTTTGAGTAGCTGAGATGCATTTGGTAGGTCATTGATGTAAATGAGAAAGAGAAGTGGGCCAAGAACACTTCCCTGTGGGACCCCGACTGTAATTGGTTGTGTGGAAGAGTTAGCTCCATTTGTGTACATATATTGGCTTCTGTTGCTAAGGTATGACTTTAGGTAGTTGAGGGAGTGCCCTCTTATACCATAGTTTGTTAATTTCATGTGCAACAAATCATGGTCAACTGTATCGAAAGCTTAACATAAATCATTGAAGATTCCCAGTGGGACTTCTTTTTTTTCTTGAGAGTGGTGTATATTAGTTCTAGCATGTGTATAATAGCATCATTTGTGTTTTTATTAGGCCTGAATCCAAGCTGAGAGGGGTTGAGTATGTTGTGGGAGATGAATTAATTTTTCAGAGATTTTAGAGAGAAGGGGTAAGTTAGGTATTGGCCTGTAGTTATTCAGGTCTGCTTGATCTCCTCCTTTGTGGATCGGGGTGACCCCTACTATTATGAGAATTGCCAGGAAGGTGGAGGATTCGATGAATTTGTTAAAGAGCGTTGCAATAATTGGTGACAGTACTTGAGAAGCTTTTTTGTACATAAAAGGTGGTAAGTTATTTAAATCTCCTGCCTTATTTTTAAGTGTGTTGATGATGAGTGAGACTTCTGTTGGGTTGGTCAGAGCTAGGAATAGTGTATTTGGGTAGGTGCCAGTGAGGTAGTCTTTTGGTGGGGTGTGTGAGCTTGGGATTGTGCTCACTAGGTTTTTTCCTATGGTGGAAAAGAAAACTCAGAGTCTGTTTTCTGTTTCAGTCGGTGGGAGTAGAGGATCATCTGGTTTTGTTAGTTTGGTTGTTCTGTTTTTGGATATCTTTCTAGTTCTTATAATTTCGGATAAGGTTTTCCAGGTCTTTTTCATATCACCTTTTAAGTCAAGGGAAGTACACATTTTCACTGACAAACTATGTTGTAATTAATATAAGAAAAATCTCTTGCAGGATTCACGGAAATTTGTTTGTGGTGGTATGAGAGGACAGTTTTACCAGTGTGATTTAGAAGGTCACATCCTTGATTCCTGGGAAGGGGTTAGAGTCCAGTGCCTCGCTATACAAAATGACGGAAAGACAGTTCTTGCTTCCGATACACATCATCGCATCAGAGGGTACCACTTTGATGAGGTGCAAGACCATAATATGTAAGTAATAATAAGCTTTTCCAGTATATTTTTTAAGTAAAATTGATTTAACTTAGTTTCAAGAGTAGGTATTATGGGTCCTCGATGTTCAAGAATCGGTAAAACATTGTGTGTATTTGTACTTATGCAGTCCTAAATTAAGGAGTTGATTGGTGGTTTGGTGAAATTTCATGGGCTGGGTGATAGCAGGAATAGAGGATTCTTATAACCATATAGAGTATCATGAAAGAGGAGACACAATAACCACATGGAGTATAACAGAACCACATACAATATCATAACTGAAAGCAGTGACAAAAGGATGCTAAAACTATCTCTTTACAAATTATGATGGAATGACAGAACGGTATCCAAGAGGAAACTTTTATAAATTGTGTAAGAAATTAAACTCTGAATTGGGACATTACAAACCTAGTTCTGCTACAGCTAGGTATTACAGTAATAATTTTATATAGTATTCACATTCTGTCATTTATGTAATGTACAATGAGTGATATAAGTGTTTCCACCATGTATATTGATACAGTACTACAAAAGTTGCCACTATCAACTTTATTTTGCAGCATTCAGGAAGACCACAGCATAATGTCCTTCACTCTTGATAATACTGGCAACTATGCTTTGCTTAATGTGGCTAATCAGGGAGTTCACTTGTGGGACCTACGCAATAGAACTTTAGTCCGCAAATTTAGAGGTCTTACCCAAGGTCACTACACGATACATTCATGCTTTGGAGGAGATAATCAAGACTTCGTAGCATCAGGAAGTGAAGGTAAGTCCTTCCTTGATATTTGTCTCCATTGCATTATTAAATAAAAAAAATTATTGTCTCATTCTTATACTCTTCTTCCATCAGTTTTTTTTATCTGTATATTCTCACTCCACACATCTTCCATGGCTCTACACAAGCATCAGTTTTTATCTGCCTCCCAGCAGCTCAAACTAGGCTCTGTCACTTGCTGTATAGTTTCTTTCATTACCTTACAGTCCTTGTGTTTGTAAACAGCCATTGTCTTACCTTTTTGTCCTATGTAGATTGAAGCACCTGTGCTACTTATAATGCCTTTTTCTTTAACATGATCTCCCTGAACATAGGTAAGAAACGTATTTTAATCTTGTTAATTTTTTCTACACACAATAAACCTGAAGTCATCCATTGCCTTCGTTTGCCATTGATTTTTACATATCTGTATCTGTCATTAGACATGAACTCTCTTCATTCATATGCAATAATGCACTGTCAAATGTCTCTAGTTTGGCACCCATTTTTTAACTATACTCAGTGTTGTGAGCCTGGTTTTGGGCCAAACAGTTCACTTTATGGAAACCTCTATTCTCAAAATGAATCCAATCGTAGAATCTTCATATAAGCACACATGTGTATAGGACTTTGCAAAAAAAGAATCTGATGAATCACTAGGAATACAACCAATCTGTCATTACATCCTAAATCCTTGATTGAAGAACTCCTTAAGCCCTTTAGCTTTTTGTGTGCTCATTTTCTATTACCCTGGGTACTGTCTCCATATTAACAGCTCATTTTTGCAATCATCATCAGTTAAGTACTTTTCTTGCTTGTCAGGTATGGTAGAGATTTTAGCTCTAAACATTACTGTATCATCAAGTAATGGAGCTAAACTTTATGTTGAAGTTTGTTGGGCCTAACAGTTCCTGCATTTAACTAGCAGGCCTGTCATAGATGATTTTCTTAAAACTCTAAAGGTATAAATTGTAGAGATAATAATTTCACTTCTGGTGAATGATTGGTAGATGATGTCCATTGAGGTATTTTTTTTTTTTTTTTTTTTTTCTGCTCACAAGAATGCATTGCCATACCACAAAACCTCTAATATGCATATGATGATGGATTCCAAGTAGACACTGCAGTTCATTTGCTATTTGAACTACATTTGAAATAAATGCAATGATAACAAATATATATTTATGAATACATCTATTTTTTTTTTAATTTAAGAAGTACAGTAATAAAGAAGTACAATACAGTGGACCCTTGGCTAACGCCTTTAATCCGTTCCAGAGAGCTAGGCTTTAACCGATTTAGCCTTTAACCAAATTAATTTTCCCCATAAGAAATAATATTGGCAGTTTGGAGGGATATGTTTGTGTATCTTTATACGTATATGCTTCTAAACTGTTGTATTCTGAGCACCTCTGCAAAAACAGTGATTATGTGTGAGTGAGGTGAAAGTGTTGAATGATGCTGAAAGTATTTTCTTTTTGGGGATTTTCTTTCGTTTTTGGGTCACCCTGCCTCGGCGGGAGACAGCCAACTTGTTGAAAAAAAAAAAATAATGGAAATCCAATTAATCCATTCCTGCTGTCAGGAGGCTTGACAAAATAGTAGTACTTCAATATGATGCTAATGTCAACTCTACAGCTTATTTATCTATCATAATTCATCTAATATGACATAATAAACAATATTAATAACATAGAAACATGATATTTACTCTAGAATAAATAAAATGTCAAATGTATGTGAGGATAAGTGATGGAAGTGTTGTTGTTGGGTTTATAATGGCCACTGAGAGAAGCCATACAAGCTTCTGCCACCACCACTATCCACAATCAATATATGAATGTAATTTATAAATAAGAAATATTTACATTTTAATTTATAAAAAAGTTTATTCAGGTATACACAGATACACTTACGTACATAGATTATCATACCTGGAGTTTACCTGGAGAGAGTTCCGGGGGTCAACCGTTCCGCGGCCCGGTCCGTGACCAGGCCTCCTGGTGGATCAGAGCCTGATCAACTAGGCTGTTACTGCTGGCTCCACGCAAACCAACGTACGAGCCACAGCCCGGGGGGGGGTGGGAAAACCGATTTTAGGGTTTGGGTCCGTCCCAAAGCTTGAAGACTCCCAGGGGTCTTTTGGTTTAACCCCCCCTTTATGTAGGGCGGGAGGCAGTTGAACAGTCCCGGGGGCCCCTGACATTATTGTATGGCCCTTAACGTGCTATTTGACACCCCTGCTTTTTCATTGGGGGGATGTTGCATGTCGCCAAGTCTTTTGCTTTCATAGTGAGTGTTTTTCGTGGGGCAATTTGGGTACTACCCCTTCTAGGTTTTTCCAGGTGTTTTTAAAAATACGTATCTCCCCTCCCTTTGCTTTCCGGGGGAAATACATTTTTAGGAACCTCAAGCGCCCTCCCAAAAAAATTGAGGTTTTTTTATCCCCGTTATGCGCGCCGTAAAGGGTTTTCTCTGTACATTTTCTAGGTCAGAATTTCACCTGCCTTAAAAAGGTCGTTGTGGCAGCAATATTCCAGCCTAGTTTAGAACAAGGGCCCTAAAGGAGTGTCCATGGGTTTGGCTTTCCCTATTTTTTGAAGGTTTCCCTTCATTATCCATCCTGTAAATTTTTCTAGCAAAACCGATTGTTACAAGGGTTTATGTTTCCTTGAAGGTGAGATCCCCCCGGCCCATGAACCCCCAGGTTTTTTGGCGTTGGCGTTTGCTCTATTTTGGGGCCAAAAATTTGTTTTGTACTCTTAAATTTTTAAATTTTCCTTTTGTTTACCATATCTGAGAAATTAAAAATTTCTCACCCGGTTGAACTTCATATTGTTTTCTGCACCCCCCTGAAAGATTTGGTTGTTTTTCCGCTTGGAGCCTTGCAGGTTGCAAGGGGAAAGACACTTTCATGCAGTTTTCGGGTTTCATCTGAAAAAGGAAGACACGGGCTGTGGTTGATTTTCCTTGTCTATGTAGATATGAGGTGGGGAAACAAGATGGGGGGCGAGTACTGTGTTTTTGGGGGAACAGAGCTTTTCACCGTAGCTGCCTCGGACTTTATCTGTTGCCCTACTACTCTCTGTTTTTCTTTAAAGTGAGGAAATTATAGATCCATCGACCGTTTTTTCCCTGTTTTTCCCCTTTACCAGGGCTTTTTTGTGCGCTTTTACCCATGGTTCACACTTATCGAAGGTTTTTGAAAAGTCTGTTTTAAATTTAATCTGCATTCTTTTGTCTTTTTATTTGCATCTGGGCCTTGTTTTAGTAAATCCAATAATTAGACGACATTTTTTTTTTTTTTTGGGGCCCCGGGTTTTTGTTTTAAACTGAGGGGTTTTTCTGAGGGGTGGTGTTTCTTGCTTCTTAGGACCCTTTTAAAGTTTTTTATGATATGGGTTTTTAATGAAAATGGGCCCGGGTATACTTTGCTTTTGTTTACTCCCCCCCTTTTTTGGGGGGGGGGCTTTTCTGTTTTTTTAGAAACCCTGTGGGACACCCCCGTGCCCAAATCCCTTCCCTCTCCATAGGTTTGGTAAAAGCTGGGTTGGATAGGGGGTTTTTCTTCCCAGTTTTTGTTTGAAAAAACCAGATTTTCCCCATGAGTCGGGCCCCCTGGGGCAGAGTGCTTTGGGCATTTTCTTTTTCCCCCTGTTAAAGTAAATTTTGGCCCGTCAGGTAACAAGGATGGGCTTGTTTTTAAAACCCCAAATTCGGGGGGCTCTCTCAAAAAAAATTCTTTTTGATCTTGACTCTCAGTCGGTTGTGGTTTTCTAAAAAACTGATCATTTTGGGGACTTGAGTATTTCACTTTTTTCCCCTTGCTGTATTTTGTGTAGGGCCCATCTTTTTTAAAAGTGGGGGCCCAAATACTGGACGTTTTTTTTCTCAACTTTGATTTGACATGGGGAAAAAAGAAATATTTTGGGGGTTTTTTTAGATTTCTTTTTTATGGCTTTTAGTTTTTCCCCGCTATTCCGACTCCTATAGTTTTCCTTTAGTTTAATTTTCGATGCTTGCTATTTCTCTGCCCAGTGTCCCCCTTTACCATTTCAGAAATATTGCTTTTTTTGCCGCTCTGTTATTCTTTTCCGTCGCTTGTAAAGGAGCGCCTGTCTCTTTCTATTTTTCAAAACTACTCCTCCTTTTTTTTAAAAGGAATTTAAACCTTTTGGGAAAACATCGAAATGCCACCCAAAAAAATCTGTTTAGGCATAAGTTGGGGTTTTGTGTTGTTAGTTTTTCTTCCCACTTTTTCAGTAAAGAACCTAGGATAAAACCCAAAAAACCCGAGTGAATTAGGTATTTTTTCCCTTGGGGTCCTTTTATATTTTTCACTTATAATTTTTATTTTTTTTTACAAATTACCTTTGGGGGAGTGTTATTTTTTAAATTTGTTTGATGGAGGGGATGGGGCAGAGGTTTTTTTGAGTGGCAGATACAAACAGGCCGGCATAAGTTTTAGCGGTCCCATACACATAAAAACAAAAATTGGGGATTTTCTTTGTTTTTTTTTTTTTTTCCGCTTACTTGCTTAAATTTCTTCGCGATTTGGGACTATTTGCCTTTTTCGATACCTTTCCTTTTGTATTGTACAAATCGTAGAAACACTTTAATCACTGAGAAAAGGGACATTCACCCCCCTCTCTTCCTCCTCCAAATTTGATACTTTGCAAAGAGTTTTTTTTTTGAATTTTATTGTTTCTTTTTCCTTTTTTAAACACAGGGCTGGGACTAAAACTTTTTTTTGGGGCTATGGTGGCTTATTTAGTAGTTAAAAGCACTAAAAACAAAAGGAATTTAAAACAAAATATAATTTCATGTTAGGGAGTAGGGTTTTTAAACAGCAACCAAACCCCGGGAGGGACTACTGTCCTTTCCAAGGAAGTTAAAAAGGAAAGGGGGCCCGTAATTGTTTTTTCATGATGGGAAAGGGTTGTGATGTCCTTTTTTTTTGTCTCATAAAAAATGCAAGATTTCAGGTTTCATCCCTTTCAAATTCTAAATTA